ATCGTACAGTTTGGCGATCGTGGAAAGAATGGATCTTTTACTGCCGGAAGCGGGAGCAGAGGGTGAGACGTCTATCTGGAATACGTCGAGGGACGGATTCCATTTGATTCCCAGGAGCTTGACCTTTTCATTAGCTCCCAGTTCCTTAGAGCAGGCTAATCCGTGGTCGCTCGCGTCAATGTCCGACAGGAGATCAGTCCAATTACTAGTCCACTTTCTTAATTCAAAATGACCCTGTCGAAGCAGCGAGATTACTTGATGACGAATCTGCCTAACATGGGTCTCGTCATCGTCCCCGAACAGCACGTCGTCGACGTAAAGACTGTCGCGAAGGACCGGAATCGCCAAAGGAAATGAGGACCCTTCGTCTGCTACTAATTGTTTAATGACACGAAGAGCTAAGAATGGAGCGCAAGTCAGCCCATATGTGACGGTTCGAAGTTGATAGTCCAAAGGTGCGTTGTTAAGCGACCGATTCCAGAGAATGCGCTGATAATTGCAGTCGCGTTGATCGAGAGAAATCTGGCGGTACATTTTTGCGATGTCGGCAGTGTATACGAATTTAAATCTACGCCATTGAGTAATTACCGCCGAAAGATCATTTTGGAGTTTTTCACCGCAAAGCAAGTGGTCGTTTAAACTCGAACCATTAGTTGTTAAACTTAAGGCATTAAAAACGACTCTTAAATGCGTCGTAGCGCTATCAGTTCGAATAACCGGATGGTGAGGTATGTATACGCATTATTCGTCAGGATCCGAGGGTGCTAGTACAAGGCGCATATGACCTAACTGTTCATATTCTTTTAGGAACTCGTCATATTCCGTGAACAGCGCAGGCTGAGATTGTAACCGGCGTGATAGTGATTTCAGAAGAATTTGTGCTTTCTCTCGCGAATTTCCGATGTCCACCGGAGGACCCTTCCAGAAAAGAAGCCAAACTATATAACGGCCGTCAATCGCCCGAGCATGCGTGGTGAGGAAATGCTGTTTGCACTGCTCATCCTCCGCCGACAGCGAGATTTGACGAGGAACCTCCTCAACTTCTCAAAATTTTCGAATTTCGTCATTGAGCGAAGGCGAAATCAAACAGTGATGTACCGACAAGCTGAAGGCTGCCCGTTGTCGAACGATATTAACTGAAGGTGTCGAAGAAGGTTCGGACAGTGTTTGAACAGGGCCCGACAGGATCCAGCCAAAAATGGAATTTTGAGCGGTGGGCTGGTCTGGCGTGCCCTTGCGACGGCCGTCCAGAACTATCTCATTATATAAGTCTGAACCGATGATTAGATTAATAGGATCGCTACTTGTGGGATCAGGATCGGCGAGGGATAATCCATTCAAATGAGGAAAGTGCGTGAGATCTCGTTGCCGTTGGGGTGCGTACAAAGTGAGATCTTTTAGAATGACTGCGCTTGTTGAGTATGCCGGTGTAAGCGAGTTTAGCGGTGAGACCGTAATGTTGGTCGTAAATCGCGCAGTGCCCGCGTGCACCGCTCCAACAGCGGAGATCGATATAGGCAAGCGATGTCGCTTAGCGCGCAAAAGTTGAGCGATATTTTCCGCAAGAAAGGTCACCTGCGAGCCTTGGTCAAGCAACGCTCTTACCGCTACCGTGCGTCCGGCCGACACGCTTACTGTTACCCATGCCGTCGCGAGGAGAATCTGACTTAATGATTTGTGAAGCGTTGCGGTGTGAGACACTCGAACGTCGGATTGAGGCTCGACGGCAGGAGTTGGCCGGCTAGCAGCGGACGATGCCTCTGATGTTTCATCGCTCGAATCCGAGTTTAGATGTAACATACTATGATGTCTCTGAGTACAAATTCGACACGAGTATTTGCTGCGGCAATCCCGTACCGCGTGATTATTGCTAAGACAATTGAAGCATCGATGATGCTGCTTTGCTAAGTCGCGACGTTGACTTGGATTCGCGCGAGTGAACGTTGGACATGCACTAAAATAATGCCTCGCTTGACAGAGTGGGCATGCGGATGGAGAGGTCTCGGACGCAGTTGCTAGGTGCACTCTTGCCGCGGCGATCGATTTCGACGCTGGCTTATGAACCGGCCCACTGGCAAACTCCTCGAGAGCGCGAGTGCGATTTCTAAGGAACTGAGTTAAATCCGCAAACGACGGCGGCTCGTCACCTTCGGTAGGTTTCAGATTCCTTGCGAGTGACTGAATCTAATTTGCTGACAACGAAGTGTACGAGCATGTCATTCCAGAGCGCGTCCGGAATTCTGTTGAGTGATTGCAACGATGCGACCGCAATATTCACTTTATCCAGCATTGATTGAAGCTCGATCGCCGATTCTCGAGAAATTGTCGGGAGCTGAAGCAACGTCGAAAGATGCTGAGTAATTAACCGACGCTTATTTTCATATCGCTTGACCAAGGCTTGCCACGCGATATCAAAGTTCGCGGCGGTTACAGGGAGATTTCCTATAGATTCGAGCGCGCGACCCGTTATACAAGAAGTCAAAAAATGCATGCGAGCGAAGTCGTCTAGCTCTTTATTGTGAATTATTAAAGTTGTAAACCGATCGCGGAACTGTTCCCACTCTTCGTAACGAGCGTCAAACGGTGGTAGTCGAATAGACGGTAAATGCGAAACTGACAATGAAGAGGACGGCGCTCTCGATTCAACAATGGTCGTTTGACTCACATATGGCTCCACTTCCTCCAAGCACTCCGTCATGAAGTCGTGCGTGTCGGCGTACGCCTCCTCCGTGGCCTCGAAGAAGCCGTCCTTGAAATAGTCCAGCGATATTCTCGTAGTTTCAGGAACAATCTTCAACAAGAGAGCATGGCCTTCCACAAATTGCTTCCAATTCTCCTTCAGTATGGACATCCTTGATCGCATTTTCCCAGGTGTCCAGTTATTTCGACCGAGCTTTTTAAAATTCTCAAGCGACCTCTCGATCATGCGCTTGCCTTGTAGCTGTCGGTGTAATGGATCAGCCATGGCTCGTCGGTCCGATTCAGTCTTGACTGCACTGTGTACCCGTGCTCCGAATCCGGCTCGAAGGACCAAATTTTATGTACGCGGAATTCGAGGTGGTGTTAATTCCGCTTACGCCGGTACACCCAGCGCAGGGCTCGCGAACACGGGCTGGTTTTCAAGGACCGACTTGTGGTTGTAATGATTTAAGAAAGTGCGATAGTTAAACTTAACAACTTAATATCAACTTTATTGGTGGATTCCAATAACCACGCGAGTAGCTCTTACACACAAATAGAATTTGAGAGTAAATGAACGGACACGTGATGAAGCAGTCGTTGAGGCTGAGATGGTGTTGTGGAGTTAACTTTCGGTATGAGATCGGGATACTGGCTTTGGTTATCTGAACGCTCGACTTCTTGCGCGATCGTTTTATAGTTGTCGCGTCGGCTACGCTGGCCGATCTCATTGGTTCCGATATCGCGAAACCGTCGTTAGAGTTAAGCGAGATCTTATTATGGTCGAGACTCAGCTCGGAAAAACGATGATGTAGCGTTATTGTGGTGTGCTGCTGATTCCACGTAATCGCGCCGAGAATCGCCGAATCATGTTTTGATTCATCAACACAACACATCGCCCGTGAGACACTGTTGTTATGCGGTCTCCTAGCTCATTTGGTTTTATTATTCGAATGCTTCTAGAATATTCCTACAGAATGTTCCAGAAGCAATTTGAGGTAACCGAGCCGAATCCCGAACACCAGGACTAGAGGAACGGAGAACATCGAGGGACAAGAAAGCAGCGACTGACAACTCCACACCGCTCAGGATCAGATGAATCGTATCTTACTATTTCGTATTAAATTATGCCGAATTATCGCTCGCTCAGTAATCGTGAATCTAATATCGCTTAGAATATTCCGGAGCGAGAACACAGTATCGCACTTAGACAGTATTCTGTCAGCTGTGTTTACTTTTAGTGAACGCGACTGTCGTGAGAATCCCAGCAGAAAAAAACGGGAGCGCCGAGAAAGGCAGCGAGAGGATCCACGACGGCAACAATGTCTCGAGACAGAAACCGTCTCGAGACAATAATAGCGAAAAGTACCGATTCTCGACTGTCGAATATCGCAGGACGAGAGAAGAAGAGACGCAGGAGGACTCGCTAAACTGTGCGGTCCTCCAAGAGCCGAAAGCCAGTCAGCCTTACCGCGACCGACGCCGCGAGCAGATCGCACACCGTTTCGAGCGTTGGATACTGCACGTGCCGAACGAGAGAGAGAGAGAGAGAGAGAGAGAGAGAGAGAGA